TGCAGCAATTCCAGCTGTTCACACTGAGCTAATCTTCTATCTTCTGTACATTTTTTTTATTCAAAAGGCAGAGTTTCAGAGGGGCAAAGGCAGAGAGAGAGAGAGAGAGAGAGAGGTCTTCCATCTGCTGGTTCACTCCCCAAATGGCTGTAATGGCTGGAGCTGAGCTGACTAAAAGCCAGGAGCCAGGAGCCAGGAGCTTCTTCCAGGTCTCACACATGGGTACAAGGGCCCAAGGACTTCGGCCATCTTCTACAGCTTTCCCAGGCCATAGCAGAGAGTTGGATTAGAAGTAGAGCAGCCGGGTCTCGAACTGGTGTCCATAAGGGATGCTGGCACTGCAGGTAGTGGCTTTACCCGCTACACCATAGCAGTGGCACCCTGTGCATGATACTTTTTTTTTTCTCACCAAAAAAGCCATCATGGGTTTAAGGATATCTAGTCTAACAAAAGATGGAGTGGTAGAAGTTTTCCTTGTTGTCCTATACCAAGCTCAGGGCTGACCACTGTGAATGTTTCTTTAATGAAGAAACTACTGTGAAGAGTCTACTGAAATAATTTCAAACATTATTGGAAACTAACATTGGATCATGGACTGGACTTTGCATTAATTTTCTTCCTTTTTATTTGGCATTGGAAACTTTCTCCATTTCCCTTCTCTGAACATGGGAAAATTTAACACCACATGGTTTTAAGGGAAAGATTAAGTAAAAATAGGATACAGTTCAAAGATAAAATATTTCTTCAAGAAGTAGGTATTAAGACTTCGATTTAGTTACCTTCCTGTATATAGGTACTACTACTCAGTCCACCAGAGCTCATTTTACTAATTTGTTATTAAACACAGCGGCTTTGTTGGTCATTTAATGCTGCAGCATCAATAGAATTCAATGCAGGTGTTTTGCTTTTCACTCTTGGGATTTTATTAGTGTCTTTCTGTTGTCTCAATGGCCACCATGATTTACAGATATAATTTTATTATTTGAAATATAAATAATGAGTTCAAAGAGAGAGATAAAGGTAACCAAAGTGGTTTACTAGGATGTATACGGGTTAGTGAGGAAACAGTGGTCACAAAGGAATTGCTTGCATTTTTTACTCTTTTACTTTATCTGTCTTTCTTGTGTGGCCAATAAAGGCACCATCGCATCAATTTCCTAGCATTTGATTCCAAAAACTCAGAGGAAAATAATTCACTGCTTCATAAGTGAGCAAAAAAGCTTCATTCTTTGTCCTATAATATTTTTATGTACCTACTTCTTCATAAAGAAACTGGTAATTTAATGCCATTTCTTTTTTCTGAAAAAAGTCAAGCAAATGTAGAGTGTTTTCATGGGTATTGGCCGTAGTTAATTTTCACTGTGGACATTTTTCATTCCTATGTAAAAGTTTGTTCAGCCTCTGAGAGGACTGGCAAAATGCATCAGCCCCTTTTACTTCAGATTTTGTTCGCTTGTTAAATAGCATGTTGTTTGCATTGCTCCAAAGTTTATGGGTGAGCAATATGATCCCGGGCTTATTAATATGCACTCAGACTGCAGGTGTCTAAATAAAATGAAACCATGACCTAAATCTGTGTATATGAAACACATTTGAGTTTTGAGTCCATTCTAAAACAGTGTTGGGTAAAGAGGTTGTAGGAAATAAACTTCTCATTGAGAAAAAAAGAATAATTGAAGGTGATATAACCTTATTCTTTACTTTCTCCTGTATTTTTCAAGACAATTTTCAGTTAAATTTCCTTTTAATTGTGTAAAATTATAATGCAGCTACTTATCAAAAAGGTATCTCAATGTATGCTTGGATAATATTAAAGTATGAAAGACTATACAGGTATAGACATATTACTTTAGTTATATCTTCTAGCATCTTTGTAGGAAAGGCTAGTGTGTGTCAATAGTAAATCAATAGTAAATCAATTATTAGGGCAAGCTTTGGGGAAATAGAAGACAAAAACTGATAGCCTAACATGCATGACTACTAGCCTAACATGCATGACTACTCAAGTTCATGTTTAAGTGATTGACTCTCTACATACTTGTCCAGAGTAAAACTTTTTAACAAATGATTTTTAAGTTCGTAAGAACATTTTAATGGAAAACTTCGCCTATAAGATGTGTCATTTTATAGATATGAGTGGTGTTATTAACAAGCAGCCTCTTATTAAAATGACTTCATGAACCATAGAATTCTGGAGTTGAAAGCTTTCCTACAGTTGATCCATGTAACCCACTTATTTCACGGACTGGATAACAGCCCAAGATGACACGCCCAAGCTTACCCAGAGAGTCACACACCTTGCTTAGAATCCAAGGCTCCAGGCTCTAATGCAAGCTTTCTCATTCTGTTTCCATTTTTAATTTTCATGATTTCCTCTCCCAATTCCTTCACTTGTCTACCTTAACCAACAACCAGATCCATTATAAAAAGTAACCCAGACTGTATTCTGGCTTTCAGAACAGATGTGGTAAAGGGAAAAGGAATTTGAAGCCATATGTTTATGGATTTCAACTTTTCACATTAATTCCTCATCACCACAGAAAAACAAGGATTGATTATAAATGGAAAGAGTTCTGTGAGGTTGTGTATGTAGAATAACACGAGTAGAATGATGTAAAATAACTTCCTCCTCTTCCTTCCCACTTTGCCTGGTAATACCTTCTCTGTCTGTAGCACTTGGTCCATGTGACTGTTTAATGACCTCTCAGTAAGAGACAAGGATTCCAGCCATCATCCTATCATAACCTGAAACTAGAAAAGAAGCCGAATCTGTCATGCAAATGTCAAACACCACATAATGCCATGTGGTCATTTTTCGCTTTCAGTTTTCTTATTCCTCCACTTGCCAAATTTATCAGTTTCATGTGACCATGCAGACATCTCAACTAGACTTAAATTGATTCAGATTCTTTTTCTCCTCTGTTGGGACTACAGTAGAATGTTTATATATAAGATAGAATGAGTGGTATTTCTCTTTCCAAAACAATTTCTTTCTAGTAAAGCTAGATAATCAATATTCATATTCCTAGTAGGCACTCCATGATCTCTCTCTGTTTTGGAAGAAAATATAATAAGATTATACATTTTCATAAAGGAGTATACTGAATATTCACATACATTATTTTAAGAAAAACAATCACTATCTTAATTCTAATTCAAGAAATTTTTGAAAATAAAAATAGACAATGAAGCAAGTCTTGACTTCAGAGTCCAGTTTTATTCTTAGCTTCTGATACATGTGAAAATATGTTTTGGAGCTGAACTTAGTCCTTGAAATCTTGCTTTCTTTTTAATGGAGCAAAGCTTTTCTATTATATACTTCTGGGATTTTGTCCAGAGGGTGGAATATCTACAAGCAGAGCTATTTGGTGGGACTGGCATTTGGTGCAGTGGTTATGCTGCTGCTTGGGATGCCATTTCCCTTATCAGAATGCCTGGTTCAAGTCCCAGCTCCTCTGCTTCCAATCTAGCTTCCTGTTACTACATGCCCTGGGAAGCAGCAGGTTATGGGTCAAGTGCTAGGGTCCCTAAAACCCACATAGGAGACTCAGATTGTGTTCCTTGCTCCTGGCTTCAGCTTGATCCATCCTGGGTATTGTGGGCATCTGGGAGAGTGAAATAATAGATGAAAGATCTCTGTGTATCTATCTCTCTGCCTTTCAAATAAAATAATGATTAAAAAGCTGAAAAGTTATTTAAGAAGACCAAACAACAAGCAACTCCCTTTACTCTCACTCATTTCCTTTGTTCCATAGTTGTTTTAAAGACATAATTTCAAACAGAACAATATAATAGATGATAAATTTTCCATGGACACCTGCAGAGAATATACATTGTTCAAGCTCTACTCAATCTACCTTTATCTCTTGGCACAGCTTTCATTTCAAAGGAAGCTCTGTACTGTGCCCACAAAGCAGTCACATTGATTTTGTATCTGTAGTGCCAGCCCAGTCCAATTCCATCTAGATCTGAGCGCTTCAACTTCCAGCAACTCAGACCCCAACACAGGCATGGTTGAGAGTTGAAGCAACTAATCTAGCTCAAGACTAGCAATAACCTGACCTTGTGTGTGTGTGTGTATTTTTAAATTTTTTTTTTTTAATTTTTGACAGACAGAATTAGACAGAGAGAGAGAGAGAGACAGAGAGAAAGATGTTCCTTTTTCCGTTGGTTCACCCCACAAGTGGCCGCTATGGCCACGCGCTGTGGCCAATGTGCTTCGCTGATCCGAAGCCAGGAGCCAGGCACCTCCTCCTGGTCTCCCATGCGGGTGCAGGGCCCAAGCACTTGGGCCATCCTCCACTGCACTCCCGGGCCACAGCAGAGAGCTGGCCTGGAAGAGGGGCAACCGGGACAGAATCCGGTGCCCCGACCAGGACTAGAACCCGGTGTGCCGGCGCCACAAGGCGGAGGATTAGCCTAGTGAGCCGCGGCGCTGGCCAATGTGTATATGTTTTAAAGTTCTTTTGGAAAGGGCCATTGAAACATAGGAACTTAATTCTGGGCTTCATAATTCTTATTGTGCATGGGAGGAGAGGGCGGGTTTTGAAGAACAAGATGCCAGTCTCTTCTCTGGCTGAATTTTTCGGCCAGGCTCCTCAGGGATTGGACCAAAACTCTCTGCCAGGTAGCCTGGAAGAGGGGCCCACATGCCTACACATGGAGTGCCAGGGCACCCTAGTGCCGCTGAAGACTTGTGTGTTTCCTGTTGTGAGGAAGGATCCTCAGGTGGCTAAGTCCAGGGTTCCTGGGGACTGTTCTGGTTGGGAATCAGATGCTTGACTTAAATCTTCTTGGCTTTCTCTTGTTAAGTCGTAGTTCATTTCCTTGGGCGGTGTTTTTTCTTTTTAGAAGCAAAGTTATATGCAAATATTTAACCTCCCTGCATTGCTATTTTGTCTCTGGTGTTGGTGATATCTGTATTTGAAAAGGTACTTACAGTTTTGGAAAATACCTTTTTCAGCCATTGCCAAGAGTTGGGAAGAAGGAAATGAACTCACCATCCTGGTGATCAGCCAGGATAGTCACCTTGGTGGTAGGGAATTTCGCTCCCAGTTGCCCTCCCAATGGTAGGCTCAGTGAAACGCTGAAGGATTCCTCTGCTTCATAGAGGGAGTCATCAGTGATGAGGACCCGGCAAGTTTTCTCAGTCTCATCTCTGTCAAAGTGGAGCATGCTGGTGTGGTCTTCTGCACGTGAGATATAGTCAGACAATGAGAACATCGTGGAAGGAGTTGTGCCCGTGGCAGAACCTGCAGGAATAAGAGAAGGAACAGGAAAGATGAGAAGAACTGGAATTCCAAATAGAAAGCCTGTTCCCTACTGGCTCATTGAACTATCTTTAGATAACAAATATCTGAATTATAAGGTATGCATCTCCTGGGCCAGTGATATGGCATAGTAGGCTAAGCCTCCACCTGTGACGCTGGCATCCCAAAAGGCACTGGTTCACATCCTGGCTGCTCCTCTTCTGATCCAGCTCTCTTCTTATGGCCTGGCAAGGCAGCAGAAGATGGTCCAAGTGCTTGGGCCCCTGTACCCATGTAGGAGACCCAGAGGAAGCTCCTGGCTCCTGGCTTCAGATCAGCCCAGCTCTGGCCATTGCAGCCATTTGGGGAGTGAACCAGCAGATGGAAGACCTGTCTTTCTGTCTCTCCCTCTCTCTGTCTATAACTCTACCTCTCAAATAAATGAGTAAAATCTTAAAAAAGAAAAGGAAAGGTATGCATCTCTTACAGTCACAAATATTAATGGACTGTTTTTTTATATTAGTGGTCTTTAAACAGGGTACATTAAGTGTCTTGAAAATGTTAATGGAAAAATGTGTACTCTGAAAATCTTATGCATGGCTTTCAAGCTTTTTTTGCACCAAAATAAACTTACCTTTTAATTATATTTTCCATAAACTTTTGGAAAGATCTTCATATTGAATGAGGCTTGTTTACACTAGGGGCTCAATAAATGTAAGGATCATGGGATGCTGGGTCTGGCTTAACCCAATGCTTTCATGCTGTAAGTGGGAAAATCTAGGGGCACAGAATCAGACTAGAGAATCCACAGAGGTGTAGACTGTCCTGGCCTTGCCCTGTGATGGCATAACTGTGACCCTCACACCCTGACCAGAGTTCCTTGTCCAGCATTACAATAAAGCCACAAAACTATTTGTTATTTTGCAGGGAGCTCAGGATTGATTGGAGAATTTCAGTTTATATTTGGTCCATTTTAAATTTTATCAGAGTAACCTATTTATAAATGCACAATTTTAGGAGTTTTGAAAAATACATGTAGCCACCACCAATCATAACAGAAAACATTTTTATCCCTCCTCAAAAGTTCATCTGCGCCCTGTTCAATCAACCTCCTTGCCTGTTGCATGGCCCCTGGAAACCACAGATCTGCTTCCTCTCACTTTAGATTTATTTGCTTTTAGGAGAATTTTGTCCAAGATGAACCACACAGTACTTTGTCTTTTGTGCCTGGATTCTTTCACATAGCACAGTGCTTTTGAAAATTATCTGTGTATCCTGATTTTGTTCCCTGTTGTTGCTGACCACTCCTCTTTGTTACATATGAAGACACCAAAACTGTTAGGTTATGACTTATCACCTGATGACTGGAGTTGTTTCCAGTTCTTACCTGTTCTGTGTAATGCCACCATGCATATTCTAGGGCCTGTCATGAGTGAGCACAGGCTTGTATTTCTTTGGAGTAGATACTTAGGCAGAGTGAGTGAGCAGGATGGAAAGAGAGAATAAAAGAGGAAGATAAAAGAGAGAGAGAGAGAGAGAGAGAGAGAGAGAGACAGAATTGACCTCATCTATTGGTTCACTCTTCAACTGGCTGTAATAACGAGGGCTAGGCCAGGCTGAAGCCAGAATCCAGGAACTCCATCAGGGTCTCCCCTGTGCATGGCAGGGACCCCAGTACTTGGGCCATCACCTACTGATTTTCCAGGTTCATTGGTAGGAAGCTGGATCAGAAGCAGAGCAGCTGGCACTCGAACTGGCACTCTGACATGAAATGCTGGCATTGCAAGTAGCAATTTAAACTGCTGTGCCACAATGCTGGTCCTGAAAACATTTTTTTTTTTTTTGACAGGCAGAGTTAGACAGTGAGAGAGAGAGACAGAGAGAAAGGTCTTCCTTCTGGTGGTTCACCCCCCAAAATGGCCGCTACAGCTGGCACTGCGCCGATCTGAAGCCAGGAGCCAGGTGCTTCTTCCTGGTCTCCCATGCAGGTGCAGGGCCCAAGCACTTGGGCCATCCTCCATTGCACTCCTGGGCCACAGCAGAGAGCTGGACTGGAAGAGGAGCAACCGGGACATAATCCGGCGCCCCAACCGGGGCTAGAACCCGGGGTGCCAGCGCTGCAGGCAGAAGATTAGCCTAGTGAGCTGCGGTGCCGGTCCCTGAAAACATTTTTAAGTTCCAGTTTTCTATGAACTTTTTTTTAAGATTTATTTATTTATTTGAAAGAGTTACACCAAGACAGAGAGAGGCAGAGAGAGAGAGAGAGAGAGAGAGAGAGAGGTTTTCCTCTCTGGTTCACTCCCCAATTGGCTGCAATGGCTGGAGCTGCGCCAGTCTGAAGCCGGGAACCATGAGCTTCCTCCAGGTCTCCCACGCAGGTGCAGGGGCCCAAGGACTTGGGCCATCTTCCACTGCTTTCCCAGGCCATAGCAGAGAGCTGGATCAGAAGTGGGAAAGCCAGGACTCAAACTGACGCCCAAGGATGCTGGCACTGCAGGCAGCAGCCCCACCTGGCACACCAGATGCCGGCCCCTTCCATGAACTTTTTTAAGTACCCTGGAATAAGTCGATGTCTCTATGGAGAGTTTTTCTGTGCTGCAAAATCAAAGTGGTCTATGAACTGCCATCACAGGTTTTACTCAGAAGGTCAATGACTCACAAAATGTTTCAAAATGGTTTTTTGAAGGGATGAATTTTAGGACTATTAGGAAGTAACAGATTGGCTGTTCTGTCATTCTGGGGATACAAAAAAAGGTTTGAACAGGAGAGTTGATGAGAAAAAAATGTGTGTACTAGGGCAGAGGTCAGAAGAGACTGCTCAAAATGGACGAGGAGAAGGCGGGCTGTCACTTGGTGGGAAACCAGCCAAGTTCCACTGTGAGTCCACGCTTTGAGACCTTATTCCTTCTCCAGGACAACCTGTGCAGGAAAGAGTTCTTTGAATTCAAGCCAAACCAGGAGAGGTTGGGGCTTAGACACAAACACTCTCACCGATTGCCAGAGACAGGTGTTGCCCAGCTAAAGGCAGAGGAAGACCAGTGGATGGTAGAACAGGAAGGCTTACAGTTACTTGTCAGGGGGGAAACTTTTGTGTGTGTGTGCATGTGTACACACACACACACACACACACAAAGGGGAAAAAGGTCTTAAGCTTTTACAACAACCTGATTCAATGACAACCAGTGTTTGGAATGCCTTTTTAAAGAGCTGGATGTTCTTGGAGAGATCACTTTATTTTTCCTTGTCATCAAGGGTACAGAATGTTGGTACAGCAGGTGGTAGGAAAGAAAAGAAACTGCACATTTAGCTTTTTAGGATAAAGCTAAAAAGACACACTAGATGTGCACACCATCTAGCACACACTTTATTAAGTATAACTGTCTGTATTAAATCTCTCAGGGACTGGCACTGTGGCATAGAAAGTTAAGCCTCTGTCTGCAGTGCCAGCATCCCACATGGACACTGGTTCAAGTCCTGGCTGCTCCACTTCCAATCCAGCTCTCTGCTAATGTGCCTGGGAAGGCAGCAGAAAATGACCCAAGTACTTGGGCCCCTGCACCCATCTGGGAGACCTAGAAGAAGCTCCTGGCTCCTGGCCCCTGGCTTTGGATCTGCCCAGCTCCTGTCACTGCCACCAGCATTTGGGGAGTGAAGCAGCAGATGGAAGATCTCTCTCTCTCTCTCTCTCTCTCCTCTGAAAAAATAAAAATGGATCTCAATATATTTCATCTTATGAATAGTCAAATAATAATTTATTCTAATTCCCAGTTGCATATGACAGGATTTCATTTATTTTTATTTTTATTTTTTGACAGGCAGAGTGGACAGTGAGAGAGAGAGAGAGACAGAGAGAAAGGTCTTCCTTTGCTGTTGGTTCACCCTCCAATGGTCGCCGTGGCCGGCGCGCTGCGGCTGGCGCACCGCGCTGATCCGATGGCAGGAGCCAGGTACTTCTCCTGGTCTCCCATGGGGTACAGGGCCCAAGCACTTGGGCCATCCTCCATTGCTCTCCCTGGCCACAGCAGAGAGCTGGCCTGGAAGAGGGGCAACCAGGACAGAATCCGGCGCCCCGACCGGGACTAGAACCCGGTGTGCCGGCGCCTCAAGGTGGAGGATTAGCCTAGTGAGCCACGGCACCGGCCCAGGATTTCATTTTTAACAGCTGAGTGTACTTCATAGTGTAAATATCCCATAATTTCTTTATCCAGGCAACAGTTGATGGACAGCTAGGTTGATTCCATATCTTAGCTATTGTGAATTGTGCAGCAATGAACATGGAGTACAGATAACTCTTTCATATACTGATCTCATTTCCCTTGGGTAAATTTCCAGGAGTGGAATGGCTGGGTCATATGGTAGGTCTAAATTCAGATTTCTGAGGTATCTCCATGCTGTCTTCCACAGTGGCTGTACCAGTTTACATTCCCACCAACAGTCGATTAGGGTACCTTTTCCTTCACATCCTCACCAGCATTTGTTTGTGCTGATTTCTGTATGAGGGCCATTCTAACTGGGGTAAAGTAAATCCTCATTGTGGTTTTGATTTGCATTTCTCTGATGGCTAGTGATCCTGAGCATTTTTTCCTGTCTGTTGGCCATTTGAATTTCCTCTCTTGAAAAGTGCCTGTTTAAGACCTTTGCTCATTTCTTAACTGGATTATTTGTTGTTACTGAATTTCTTGAGCTGGATTCTAGAAAATTTACTTTGGGAAACAATTTTATCACTTATAGGCAATAGTCACAGAATACTGGTATTTATGTAAGTTTTTTTTTTTTTTTAAATCTCTATCTTACTGGTAGCAAGTTAAGAATCGTCAGCAGGGGCTGGCATTGTGGTGTAGTGTCTAAAGCTGCTGCCTTTAGTGCCAGCATCCCATGTGGGCACTGGCTCAAGTCCTGGTTGCTCCACTTCCAATCCAGCTCCCTGCTAATGTGCCTGGGAAAGCAGTGGAAGATGGTACAAGCATGCTTGGGCCCCTGCACCCACATGGGAGACCTGGATG